GGAAGTAGAAGTGCCTGACGCACCCCAAACGCTTGAGAGCGCGTGACACCAAACACTTGAAAATGCGTGAAACGAAAACGCTTTTGCAAGCCGGATGTGACACAAAAAAGGAAGAGTGTAAGAATAATGTCGTACATACAGCAGAAATAGTGTGTGACATCTCAAGAAAGTGATTGACGTCACCTCTACGGCGTGACAAAATATCACTGACGCGCGGAGTGTGCAGTCATTGCGTCTTTGCTCAGAAAAATGTTTTGTCATACGGCTACTTCTTTCTTTGAGAAGTGTACCGACTTCTAGTGAAAGGAGGTGAATGTGCACCGTGTGCGTGAGGCGGCAATCCATCATCCTCATTGCACAAGTGCTTGAGAAAACATACATAAGTGCTCAGATTACTGATCACGCATTACTGTCACAATCCTCTTCAGAATCCTTCCGTTTCTTGCTGAACTACACCCTGAAAATGGTATCCTTGGAAACAAAGCGAAATGCGATGCTTCAACGCTATTTTTATGTTGTTAAAGAAAAAAAAACAACAAGGAAAGTTGTCTTTAACTTAAGGATAATGGCGTTAAAATAGAGTGAAATTTTCCTTAGCTTCAAACTATTTCCTTGAAAGACAATGGCAATGCATTAGGCCAAGGTCAAAAATGTCCTTGTATTTTTTAAAAAATTATTTTCATAGGTTTAAGAATACTATTTTCTGGGCTTAGGTTTTACAGTAACGCAACAAGATTAGAGCTTTCTCTCTTTTTTTGGCGGGGGGAGGGGTAGGGCTCGGCATTAAGCGAAAGGTGCACGTGTACCGTGTATGTGAGGTGGTATTCCATCGGCCTCGTTGCACAAGTGCTTGTGAAAACATCGATAAGTGGTTAGATTACTGATTACGCATTACTGTCACAAACCTCTTCAGAATCCTTCCGGTTCTTGCTGAATCACACCCAGAAAATGGTATCCTTGAAACGAAGCGAAATGCGTTGATTCAACGCTATTGGTACGTAGAAAAAAATACAATGGAAATTGTCTTTAACTTAAGGATAATGGCGTTAAAATAAAGTAAAATTTTTCCAAGATTGAAACAATTTCTTGAAAACAATGGAAATGCCTTAGGACCAAGTCCAAATTGTCCTTGTATTTTTTTTAAATTATTTTCCTGGGTTTAGGGATACTATTTTCTGGGTGTAGGTTCTACAGTAACCAAACAAGATCAGAGCTTTCTCTCACTTTTTTCTGGGGAGGGGGAAGGGGGTAAGGGCATTTAGCGTTTTTTTTCCTCCCCGTCTTGCGTCCTCCAGGAAGGGAGGATAGTAGTCAGGCGTGACTCATGGAGTGAATCCCTCAAAGATCGCCGAGAAGCCCCGCCGCAGCGTCGCACCGCACGGCCCTTGTTGTTGTCGTTGTTCTCTGGAGGAAATTAGGCGGAAACTAATCTACTGCGTATCGTGTTGTCGCCGCCTGTCGCCGTCGCGCGCGCGGCCGTCGACCTGCACCTTGCACAGTTCGAACGCTTCCATGCAAGGTGCGAACCCCCCGGCCACCGTCGCACCCGCAGAAACTCATTTCTTTGAAACAGGGGAATTTCCTTGAAATTAGAATTGAATCACCGACATTGACCTAAAACTAACAAAAGGATGTTTTTCCCTTTATCTTTGGAAAAATTTGCCTTTATTTGAAGAAAAAGTCTTTGATTGCTGGATGCATTTTTGTAATTAAATCAAAGAAATTTCTTTGGAACAAGCGCAAAATTTCCCTATGAATTTTGAAGGAAACGATTTTCTGGGTGCGGGGCCAGACAGTTACGCGGCCAGGGTATATTCACCACCCAATCGCCTGCTGTCCTTTGCTGATAATCTTTGTATTGACAGAAGGCAAAGCCTGATTTTACTAACGTTTCAGTTTTGTTTTACCAATGATGTGTTATGTGAGAAATAAACATATGGCTGGTTTATAAGCTCAAATAATTTGTTTATTGTTTTTTTAACACTGCCGTATTGACTCTGCACAATTATTGTAGAATACAGTGATTAGCAACAGCTTCCGTTGTCAATTGCACCCTGGAGGCATCTCTGTGACGCCGCACCATCAAGGTAGTATCTTTCCAGACAGCGGTTCAGCAAGGCCGGAGCACGTTCCAGTGAGCAGGAGGATCCGCCCCTTAGTGCGCTGCTGACTTCGACACCGCACGTCCAGCCAGGGTTGAAATAACGCGAACCGGGGACGTTCTTGGTGCAGATTTGGATCTGCTGGCGGAGGTATTCTAGTGAAAGGCTGCTGCAACCGTAGCTGTAAGCGTTCAGCTGGAAAGAAAGAACAACGTGATGTCTTGAGCACGTAATAACTTGGCAGGTTTTGAGAAACCTAACGTTCATGTTCAATCGCGTGACACTCCCTTATTTAACCATGCGTACCAAAAGAAAGCCCCACTCAATACCAAATGTAGTAAATACGTGAACTCCGATAACCAAAGAACTATACAGATGTACCAAAATAGATTTTATCGAACATTTACCTGTTCATCGTGAGGGGCAGCGACGGCTACGCCAAGCTGTGAACAACAATGCACTTTGTATTGAAAAAAAAATGCGATATCCTTTCGCAAGCTTCCAAAGAATTGTTTCTCGGACAGAAGGGGTTGTTATCAAAATTCAATGGCGTGGATTGTATTCTGCACAGCGTGCACATGGAATCGGCATACACTGTGCAGCGACACACATTTCAGTAAAGGGTTTCCACTCAAAAGAAAAAGGGTCGCACTGGGTGGTAGTTGTCACACTAACTTACACAGGCGAGCACAACTGCTGCGAAGACAAGAGTAAGCTTAGAAGCCATTTCTGCTAAGAGGTGGGTGGTCTGCTCGGTTACTGATGTCTCTTTCGGTTTGGGCAAACTGTTTTATATGATTCGCGTGAGCGCTTTCAGTATGAGCACCGAATCGCAAATTATTTCACAACTACCTAGTACTAAGAAGATAGCAGATGGCACCAGCGTTGAAGTACTCTGCTTGACAGCATTGTGCGCTCAGAGTTCTGTTACTACGACACAGGTGCGTTGAAAGTCTCTTCAATGGTTCCTAATAACGTCATGCGATATACTTTTGGCGCGACATTAGAATATTCGGCGATGATGCACATAGAGAGCGACACATTTTTACAAGTTCAAAAAATGTACTTCTGTGGCCCTTTCTATACACAATGCCACTTGCCTGATTGTGCTATTGTTCTGTTTTGTTTTCCCAATGACGAGGGACAAATAAATGTATAAATCTATTTTATAAGCTCAAAGTAGTTTATTGTTTTGGATGTTTTGAAAAACAACCTAATAAACAGCGCGCAGTTCACAGTGGCTAGCAGCAGCTTCCATTGTCAATTGCAGTCTTAAGGCAAGCCTGTGACGTCGCACCATCAAGGGAGTAGCCTTTAAGACACTGGCTCAGCAAGGCCGGAGCCTGGTTCATTGAGCAGGAGGACCCGCCCCTCAGTGCGCCGCTGACTTCGGCGGAGCATGTCTGGCCAGGGTTGAAGTATTGCTGAGAGGGGACGTTTCTTGTGCAGATTTGGATCTGATCGCGAAGGTGCTTAAGTGAAATGCTGCTGCAACCGTAGCTATAAGTGTTGGGCTGAAAACAACATAATTTATTGAGAACTTATTAATACTTTGGCAGGTTTTGACGAATTACCTATCGTTTATGTTCAATCGCGTGAAGCTCCCAGATTAAACCATACGAAACAAAAAAGAGCCGTACATTAATTAATGTGTTATATAAGTGAACTCCGAAAACCACTGAACTATACAGATGTGCAAAATTAGAATATAATATCAAACATTGGCCTGTTTAGTTTGGGGGCGGCGAAGGCTACGCCAAGCTGTATGAACCAGAAACAATGCATTTTGTATTGCAAAAAAATTCGATAAACTTTTGCAAGCTTCCAAAGAAATTACTGCGTTATAGACTGTACCACACATTTTAGTGAGGGGATTCTTCTCAGAAGAAATATGGTCTCACTGGGTGGTAGTTGTCACATTGACTTAGACACAGGCGAGCACAAGTGCCACGAAAAGAAGAGTAAGTTTGGATGCCATTGCTGCTATGAGGTGGTCAGCTCGGTTACTGGTGATTCGTTCGGCTTCGGCAAGCTTTTTTATACGAGTAGCTCGTGCCTTCTCAAATACCAAGAGGATTGCGGATTGACACAAGTGTTGAAAAAGGGGGGGGGGGCGAACTTTACGACTACACGAGCGACGTGCGGGTGTCGGTTTCCGCTTATAGCTATAAACTGACCATTCCTACTTGCTCTAAATGAGTTGTAGAACTCATGTCGTTCGGCGACAAATATCAATCTTACTATGTTCTTCCCATTTTCTAAAACCAACGAAATTTGAATGGAAGACGTAGGCCGAAGATGAGCCTGTGGCTGGGGCCCTGGCAGGTGACCGTCGGTGAGAGGCGGGGAAGGGGACTCGAGTTTTATGGCAAGGCGGCACCGCAGCTTTTGGATGGATGTCAAACTCCAGTTCTGCCTATTGCCGTAAACTGACACTCCCCACTTAAATGAACCAAGTGATAGAAATAATGTCCTTTTTAATGAAAGTCTTAGGGTAATATGGTGTCAAGATGCTTTTCTGAAGCGCAAGTTCTCTCATATGACTTTGGGCGTCCCGGCGTGCACGTCGAGGTGCACGTAGCCTTTCTGGATCGCATTGAAAGTGTGGGCTTTTCTGATTTCTTTTTCGTGTGTTTTCACGCGGAAGCCATATGCATGGTCGCCGGCCCGACGGGCGTACGCTTGGCACATCACATGACGACACGTGCGGTGCGGGCGCGTGCATTATTTCGCGCCCAGGCCGGTGTCACTCAGTGATTCATTAGACGCCCGGGTTGGCGTGGCCCGGCGGGGCCATTAGCCTTACAAGATGCAGGCCGTGTGCAAGTCCTTTACCTTACCCCTCCTCTTTTCTCACTTGTCGCCTCATAGAGTACATACCCTTGGACAAATAAGTTTCGCGGGAACCGGGATAAAAGAGGCTGCGTCGTGCCCAGGGTAAGATTGTGAATGTGTCCGGCTTATGCCACGCCGCCGTTACAGGGGCGCGCTGATTGCCACTCTGCAGTTCTATTGTCCGCCCGCCGCCCCGCCCGTCTCTAAAATGTGAACGATATGCAAAATTTGAACGTGTCAAACTGCAGCGTTCTGAGTAACACCAATCTACTGAAAAATTTAAGTTACATTGAAATAAATTTTAAAACGCAGTTGTATGATGCTTCGTTCGCTCATAGGTGACGTCTATTTCAGAATGCACTTCGCATTCCACACTTGGTGTGCATTAACTTCGACGACGTTACGTTTAACGAAACGTAACGCGTTAATTTTGCCAGAACGGTCGATACCTAACGCGTTAACGTTAACTCAAATATCAAATTAACGAAAGGTTCGCGTTAAATTTCAATTTTAACGTTAACAACCTTGCGTGTCCTACTGTCATGTGCTTAAAGTTTTGTCCCATAGGACTCGTGAGGTGTTTTAGTCTTTTCTGAGTACACCCCGCTCTCAACACATTTGCTTTGTCGTAAAACTTGTCTTTACAGTTTTCGGAAATGTGAGGTGCGATTACTATGCATGCATGCGCGTGCATGACCTGCGTCAGACGACTTTGTCACCTCGCACAGTTAAAGTCTTACGAAGCAAAATGCCAAATGCTTCGTACCTACAAAGGATTTTCTCCCTACGAAGCGTCCAAATCCTTCGTATTACAAAGGATTTGGCATTTTTCTTCGTAAGACTTTAAGGGGGGATCCTAGTGTAGCGTCTCAAAAACAAGGGTAATTTTAGGAATTATTTTTTAAAAAAACTATAGCTCTTATCAAACTGTACAAAACACCGTTTAAAAGATGGCAGTTTCATCTACAAAACTAAAGTAAAAACGTCCTGATCGCTTAAAAACTGTGGCGACACGCCCTGGTGGAAGATGGCGTGTCACAGGTGTGGCGCTATGCTGGCCGTACACTTTCCAACGGACTGGTGCGTCTAAAACAGTCGTACGAAACGGTGTTTTGTTCAGGAGGAACCTGGCTATGGTCGGTACTAGGATCTTTACGATAAAATTATTTTTAGTATTTTTTTGAGTAAGTCAAACTTTTAGTACTGAAGTTGAGGTAAAAATTTTCAATGTTTTAATTTATTTTTAATATGAAGGGCACCTCCGATCCCAGATCTTCTAGTACCGACCATAGCCAGGTTCCCCCCGAACAAAACACCGTTTCGTAGGACTGTTTTAGACGCACCAGTCCGTGGGAAAGTGTACGGCCAGCATAAAACTACATGCTCCCTTGTAGCAGGCCGTGTCGCCACACCTTTGAATATACTGAGACGCTTGTTTTTGCATTTTTTGCATTAAAGTGCCATCTATTAAACCGTGTTCTCAAATTTCCGATACGAGCTACAGTATTTTAAATACAAAATTCGCAAAATAAGCATTGTTTTTGAGCCGCTACACTAGGATCCCCCCTTAACAGTGCGCTTTGTCGCGCTCTTTCGCTAATACGTATTAGATGTGGTAACTAATATTAAGTAGTCAGAGCCAAGAGCTGGTTGCTAAAACAAAGCACTTCGCTGCCGGAGCCAATTCGTGGTTTTGCTTTTAAACCGAATGCGTTAGCTCAAGTTCATTACACGAGCGAACAGCTTATTCTGGCAACCTAATCTTGAAACTGACAAATGACAGCCAATTATTAGCTCCCTCGACAATTTTTTGATCAATTGTCCCGAAATTAACTACTATTTAGTTCTGATTACGTATTTTTTCCATGTGGACTCGAAGAGAATGCCGTGGTAGGGTATTAGTAGGACACACTCCAAAAGCGCTCCAGGAACCGCAAATATGCTTCGTTTATGGTGAAGAATGTTCGCAGACACACCGGGAAACCTGTGTGTCGAACACCTCGCTTGTCCCTATTGACCGTTTTGACGCCTTTACTGCTTTCTTTATGTACTAATGTACCAAAACATACTAAAAGGCGAAAAAAATGGAAAAGGGGTCTGCAAAAACGTAAAACTGTAAAAAAATAAGTCGCCTTGTCTTTTCTCTTGCGCGCCCGCCCCTCCTCCACTTTTCATTTGGCAGATTGCCACACGCAGAGGCGCGTGCGGCGGCGGCCGCCTCGCCTTTTCTGAGAATTGCCATGGTTGGTGACGGTCGCGGACAATGATGCTAAGAGGAGGACTTTGCGCTGCTGAGCCGTGCATGGGGACGCAGCAGCCGCGATGCAGGGGATGGGGGTGCTGGACGCGTCGACGGGCAGGCCCCTCTGTCGTAAGGCTGCCATAAACAGTTGCAGGGTCAGCGTCCTGATAGAGCGCTAATGATGATGATAGCAGCCTTGCAGGACCATGAAGGGGTCGGTGGACGCGGCGCGGGGGTCTCCTCGATAAGGAAACCCCTTGAGGGCTTACGGGCCCACCGCGTTGGAGGCCCCGCTCCTGACGCACGCCCAGCCAGCCCCCCTCGGCTCACATCCACCCCTCTGGTTGGGGACAAGGGGGGAGGGGTGCTGCTGCCGCCACCACTGCGATCCGGTCGGACTGCGAGTCATACCTACCTGGATCCGAGACCGTGAGCAGCTGCGTAGGCGTAAGCTGCCGCCAGCTAAGGCGTGAGCTGCAGGCGCGAATACCTCCTCATGATCATAGATGTGTCATATCAGATCACCTCGAGGTCTAGTTCCATTCCACACTAAACCCTTTTGCATTTTTGTGCATGATCATGCAGCCTGGCGTGCAGCCATAGTTATGCTCGTCTTTTCATGCGTAGAGATGTACAAATTCTGCACAACCATACACGAATTAGTGCGCGCGTAGTGGACCTGTTATGCACAAAAAATTGTGCATAACTATGGCTGTATAAAATTCTGAAAACGATATGCACAACGGAATGCATAAGGCTTAAATGTAGACCTCTCGGAAGGCCAGGCCCTATTGTGAGTACATAGAGCCGAGTGAACGAACTGCAGGCGTGAGCTGTGGGCTTTCAGAGCCGGGGCGTGCTCCGTAGGCGTGCGCGGGGGCGTGCCGCCGACCCCCTTCCTTTGCCGCGCGCCCACATTACTAAATCATGGCAAGTTTTCCGAGGACGTTCAAGTTTTTGTAGCGCAGCACGCGGCGCCCCACCCCGCCGGGGGCTGCTGCTAAGTCGCTCGGCCTAACTTGTTCCCGGTCGGGCTGCCAGCCACTCGGGGGGCGAGGCGCTGCGCGCTGCGCCCAGCACCGCTGCCCCCGAGCGCTCCCTAAATCCCGTCGGAGGGCCCCGGAAGTGCGGGGGAGGTCAGGCCAGGGGTCGCGCCCCTGAGTCGGACTTCCCCGCCACGCCATGCCACGCCGGGCGGTGGACAGTGTCGCACTGAAAGTACCCCCCGCGGCGGCCGCCGGCGGCCGTCCTGTGATAACGGTCCACCCCCCGCCCGCGCCACCTAAAAACCTCCTGTCCGTCACCTTTCTCTTTCTCCCTCTCTCTCTCTGACCCTCGGTCTCTGTCCCTCTTTCT